CACAACCACTCCTGCATTCCCCCTTCCCCAGACCCTAGATCTGAGCCTATCAAATACTGGAACCTCCTGCCCTCAGCCCCTCACATATCCCAACCCAAATTCCTGCACCCTCAGCAAGCCTGTGGCTTGCTTAGAATCCCAACACTGCCCAGCCTGGAGCCCCCTCCCTGAGCCATTGTCCCCTTCTCCACCTCCTCCTGCATCCAGATTTCCTCCCAGAGCTTGCACCTCTCACCCCTTCCCACACCCAAATCCCTCCTTCCCACCCCAGAGCCTACACATCCTGTCTCAACACAGCAAGGGTCCAGCTAGACTGCAGGAGTTTTTTTCTGACATTTGGTCCAGTGTAGACAGGCCAAATGTTGGAAAAACCTCTTCCTACAGAAGAATAAAAAAAAAAAAGCAGTAGTATAAGGATTGGGGATAGCAAGTGATGGAGAGGAGGAGAAGAATAGAGAGGGCGGGGCTTCAAGGAAGGAGCGGGGCTTCAAGGAAGGGGCGGGGCGGTAGATCTTGGCTTGGTCTGTCATTTAAAAAGTGATCTTGGGTGTAAAAAGGTTGGAGACCACTGTACTAGGCAAATAGAACAGGAGGGGTTACATTTATGAGGGCCACATTTTTTTTTTTAATACCTGTCATGAAATCCTCTCTAGACACACTTTCCCTGACTCCCACTGTGCAACCCAAGGAAAAGAAGGTGGGCAGGCAGCAGATAAACACCTAATATAGCTAGAAAATGAATAAACTCCCATCTTACAGTCAGTGGAGGAAGTTGATACTGGGAACTCCTCTTTAATCTGTCATACCAGTGACTTAGTATGATGGCCAAAAATGTCCACTCTTGCACACCAGATGTCCATACAGAGTCTGCTCATTGAATAGGCACAATCACCTGAAGAAGAGCTTGGTATCAATAGAACATGCTGAACGTGACCTTGTCTTAACAGTGTACTATATACTGTTAATGAATAATTTCTTCATACGTTAAAGACATTATGCATGAACATAAATGCTGCTAAATCATATATGAAGAATTTTAACTATAATGTCCTTTGTCATGAAGAAGCAAAGAAACACAGGTTGAACCTCTTTATCCTGCACCCTCGGGACCCGACTGGTTCCGAACCAGAGAATTTTCCAGACCACGAGAGGTCAATATTGTCTAGCAACATTACCAACACTAAGATATAGTACTGGTGGATGTAAACAAATTTTATGGGACTGTGGGAAACCTGGCCACCTGCATGAAAAGTGGACATCCAGCTAACTAAAATCATTCCGGATGACAGATGTTTCTGGACCAGAGTGTTCTGGACTAGAGAGGTTCAACCTGTACATGCACATATGGATGGAAGGGATCAGATACTTGTGAATATTAACTTCATGATCCTTCTGATTTACCAGTAAGTTATGCTGAAATATCTCAGCGGCAACATGCAAGCAAGTGCTATGTTTGTTCTCAATAGGACAAGTGAAGATGAGCAAAAAGTTTCTTGACACTCAGACAAGATTGCAGGAGGAAAGTCAATGCAAAAATAGGCTGCTGGGTAAGAAAATCCTCGTGCTCCCCAGAGAACAAGATGAAGATTCTCAGTGAGTCCCCTTAGTGATTCTGATGAGATAAATGTACCAAGTAGGACAGAGATTCTAATAATGTTTAAAAGAGAAAGTTAAGCAAAGAGATCATTTGTTATATTTCTGTATTAAAAGGATTTAAATAAATGTGTTATTTGCACACTGTTTACTCTTTGCATTTCTCAACACTGAAAAATCAAGGTTCAACATTAAAAAAATCAATTAAGACAATTTTAATTTTTTTAATTCACCTTCACATTTTTAGAACCACAGTGCATTTTGGCACTGTTTACTTAAACAGCTTTCATTGGAATTTAAGATAAATGCCTATAAAAGGTGATGAAAACAACCTAGAAAGAAAAAAAACATACAAACACAAAATGCCTATATGACACCATACCTTCCTTAAGTAAACTGTAGCAGAACAGGCGGGCTCTTTCCAAATCTCCAAACTGCCGACAGATTCCTATGTATACTCTACAGAGAGCTTGAGTGAAATTATGGTTCAAGGACATCTTCTGAATCTTCAGTTCATCGAGAATAGCATGCAGCAGTGGGTCTGCTAAATGCTACAACACACAACAGCAATTTTTACTAACATTCATTATCTACAGTACAGCTGACAGGGCTTCACAAGATTAAAGTATTACTCTTAGTGTATGCTGAGTGAACACGGTTGTGAGACTGCCCTTAAAAGAATTATCATGCTCTTTGTAATTGTACTAAAAGGTTGCATGGTGATACTTACAACCATTTTAAAAAGATAAAAAATAGAAGTAACCAAGATGAGGACAAGACCTACCAAAAAGTATAATAAACTATAAAGCACAGTGTGGCTTTCCATTGTCCTCCTTTAAATAAAATGAAAATAAATGTGTTCAAGTTATGAGATATCACAGACCTATAGCAACTTAAGAAATAAGACTGGCACATAAGATCATGGAGAAACACTGATGAACAATGAAAATTTGGGTAGGCAAATTTTGGGCTACTTTAATTAACACAAGATTATTACTTCAAAAGTTTGCAGCCTTTTGCTATGGCCCATCATGCCAGCCAACTTATGCTCTCACAAGGACTATAGCATGCCTTTGTGAAAGATTCAATCAAAGGTGTCTGTCCCATACCTGCTCTCCCCTTCCCCTATACTTCAGGATTCTTAAATGGATGGTATCATAATTCTCAGATGGAGTGAACTAGGAATAAGGAAATGCCTTTCCCCCAACATAAAAGATAGTAACTTAAGGGGACCATAGTCCTGTAGAGAAGGAAAATTCACTAATCCATAATTAGCTATGTTAGCAACCACAATAAAAGTTTGCAGGCCTCATCTAACAATGCTAAGGTGAGATAAATAAAACAAAACTAATTTACTCATGGTTTTGTATCTGGATACCAAATAAAACATTGTGAATGTCAAAAGCTACAAGATAAACGCACTTAACTTGTCTTTATGTTTTCTTGGTTTAAATTTCTATGGTTTTAGAAGGTGCCTTCTAATCTTTCCATTTTGGTAGTATACATATCTGCATTACAACTGGCCAGTCTGCTAATTTAGTCTAAACTTTTCAGATTTATATTCTCTCCATTTGGACAAAGGTGATTATTAAAACAAAATTCAGAATTACACTACATACCTTGTTCGTGATACTGAATTCATAAACAACTTCTTTCTCTACATCAGTCATTACCGGGACCTTCGAAATATTTCCCACAAATATATGACTCCGAATAACAGGTAACAAATCAATACAGGATTCAGTAATTTTCTTCAATGCCAAAGTCACAGGATCAATTATACTGTCTACTGATGAAGGCAATTCTGAATTACAGGTGTTTGCTAATTGCTTAATTTCACAGTTGTTGAGTAAGACAGTTTTACTTGCAACACTCTGTACTTCAATACTGAAGTCTCCTGTAACTTCGTCTGCAACATCTTCTTTGGTCTCCAAATGCGGTGATTCACTATCTAGCCTCAACCTCTTTGCACTTCTTGGCATAGAGGTTGATAATATCCTTTTTCCAACATGACTCTGACCCCCTGCATCTTTTTGATCTTTACTACTGTGAGATTCTGAATTACTCCCTGTTTTAACAAAAGCAGTAGCTGTAGAAGAAATTGCTTGAAACCCACTGAACTGACTCAGTGGCCCTGGTACATTCTTGTATTCTGAAGGAGCATGCCTGTTGGGCTGAATGTTACCTCGGAGAATATTAAGCGTTCTTGCTCTTGCTGATAGCTCTGGATACATAGTGTCCAATATTTTCACAGAGTTCTGCTGAGGAACATCTAAAGCAGCACTACCAGCTGCAGACGGAGGAAGTCTTCCTGGTACAGGAAGTGCATGCTTTGGTGTGGCAGCACAGAACTGCAAAGGTGAGGACAGGATTCTTTGACCTACTGTTGTCTCTGAAGGAGATGGAGTGGAAAAGATAGGGGGAGATTTGTACTTTGGAGCATCTGACAAAGGAGACATTAGTGGAGGAACTGGAGTTACTCTTAAAGGAGAAATCAAACCATCAAGAGGAGATGGCAGAGAAGATTGGCTAGATGAAGACATTATTGGGGAAACAGGACGTCGAGTTCTTGGAGGAGTAGCTATCAGAGGTGGGAGCAGGGGAGGTAAAGGTGGACCCACCTCTTGTCTAATTTTATTGATGATCTCAGGGGAACGTTTGGTTGGTGTAGAAGTATCAGCATTGGCTAGAACTGGCTGGTTTAATTGGGCCTGCAGAATTTTTGTTGTTCCTTTACCTGGAGGTAATTTCTGTGTTAGCCTGTCCTGGTATGCCTGGGTTGAGGTCTTGGCTGAAACATTTAAGGCATCAGATGGTTTGTGGCTTTTTGAAGTATTGTTATTTTTAGATACAAAATCTACAGAGGGCTCTGAGTCCACAATGTGTGTTTTCTCAAATATTGTTTTTGGTGATTCAGAGGTTTGACTGACTGGTCTAGGGTCAGACATTTCATCAGATAGGATTCGATGCTGATCACTTCTGACAGAATTCTTTCTACTTTTTCTCTGAAAATCTGTCTCATTAAGAAAAACATCACTGTGACTGCCACCAAAATCAGACTGACAGCCATTTTGAATAATATCTGTGTTATCTGCTGAGGCAAAAGCAACACAAGTTTCTTTTTGTTTATCATTTAATTCTTCATTAAACACTGTATGTGCTGCAGACACTTCTATGCCAGCATCACATGACACACTTTGTTCCATATTTGATGCGAGTTTTTCATCACCATTTATTTGTAAGAAATTGCCTGACTCACTGGTGTCTAATTTACCATTTTTAATAACATGTTTGTAGATTTCTGGACACTTGGCTAACATCTGCTGTGGTGATAAATTAATTTCTGGAGTAGTCTGTTTTGTTGGGAGCTTTTCTGAAACTTCAGCAAGTGTAGACGATTCTTGTATTTTTATCAAGCTATTCTCATTATCAGATGCTGACTCAATTGTTTTGGAATTTTCTCTGCTTTCAGCAGCTCTCTCATTTTCATCATTATGAAATACAGTTTCAGGTGTTGAGAAAAGTTCAGATTTAGAAATCTCTTCTGTTAAACTTGACGGCTCCTTCATAATGCTTGGAGACTGATTAGTTATACAAGGTGCTGCCATATCTGCTAGTGCATCTGAGTACACCGAAGGAGGGATTTCATACATTTTGTCATTATTTTCTTCAACAGTTGGGTGCAATTCTGGCACATCTTCTAGATCAGTCCTGAAAATTCTTGAGTTCTCATTGCAGACTAAAAAACGTTCATGCTCTTTTATATACTTGACCTTTCTAAAAGGAAAGTATTCCTCTTCAGATTCATCTGTCTCCTCTGGAACCTCAGAAGTACTTTTAGAAGATGTATTTTCATTTTTCTCCCCATGTAGCTTAAAGTTCAGTTCTTTGTCTCTGTTCTTTGTTGTTCCATCAAGTCTATGTTCTGTAGGTCTCACCTGACTTTCAAAAGAGCAAAAGGACTCCACTATGTGAGGTGAAGTGTCTTTTATTTCAGAAAGAGTTGTGCTAATTTCCTTCAGGTTACATGTTCCACATTCTGCTTCTTCAGAAACTAGACTAGCTTCCTTTTCTACATGTGTACCACTGTCCACAGAACTCATACCTAAGATCTGTGTATCTACCATTGTTTTTTGTGATTCTTTGGCATTTGGCTGCTCCTTTTCTTTTTCAGTTTCTGCTCTATTTTTATTTTCATATTTGTCATTGGGACAATCAAGCTGCTTGATCTTTTCTCTCTCATTGTGGATAGTCTTGCCCTTCACCAAATTTTCTAGGGAGTTATTAGGCACACTTTGGATAACATGATTATATTTTTCATTTTTTCTAGTTAGGGATGAAGCAGTCCCAAGTGCTATACTAGAATCTTCTTCACTGCTAGTGTTAAATACTTGGCAATTCTGTTTGAAAGGTTCATCACGCACCTGAGAGTTGAAAGTTGTGGTCTCCAAAACAAGTGTTGCTGTGACAGGCGAGTTTATTTCTTTAGTATCAATACTTCCAGTCTTCAAGACATCTTCCATAGGTAAAGCTGGTTTTTCAATAGCATCTTTTTCTGACAGAGCCTGGTCTGAGACATCTGAAATCTGGGTTCTCATCTCTACTTCCTCCACTCCATTCTCTTTCAGATCAAGTGAATTGTGACAGTTCTGAATCATCACTCTCTCACACGGTTTGTCATTTATTTTCTCTTTTATTTCATCGCACTGAGAACTTTCAGGTATTGAACATGAAACCACAGGTTGCAACAACTGTGCACAAGAGGACTGTTCACTTTCTGTTATGACAGATTTCATATTATCCATTTTTTCAATTTCCAATGGCCCACTGCTTCTCTCTCTAAGTTCCAAGTGGTCTATTTCCATTTCAGTCTCCTGAGGTTCAAATACTCTAATGGAGGTTTTACATTCAGAAGAACTGTTCTCAGATGAAAGATATGTATTTTTGGCCTGCCTCATTTCACTAGCTCTTTCTGTGACATGTTCTCTGGCAACTATTTCCTCAAGTTCTAGTGGATCATTTTGTCCTTCAATACCAAATGCTGGGTTTGGTGACATAAGGGTAGTTTCAAATTCTGTTTTCTTTTGCAATAGTTTATTAGCATCTTTTTGTTCATTATCTAGGTTAGCATGCAAACACTTTTCCTCCTTTGGCTCTTGTAATTCTCCAACTTCCATGACATGGCGTGATTTAGCAAAGGTACTTGTTTCTAGAAAGTCTTTCCCATCTACTAACCTACCAGTGAAAATACTTTGTTCAGGCTGAGTTATGATGACCTCAACACACTGTTTTCCAGTTCTGTGCTGTTCTCCATCTCCATCTTCTGCAGACACTGAGCAAACAGTTCTGCATACATCTGCAATGTGGTTTTCCCCATCCACATATAATGAATCACTGCTTCTTTCAGTGGCAAGTACAAATGAGTCATGTCTAAAAGCATTGTTTCCCAGTCCATTTTCATTTGCTCCATGTTGTGTTATATGCTCAAGTTGTTTATCCAGTGTCTCTTCATTGCTTACTTCTTTTTCAGAGCATTGTGATTTAGTGGCTTTATCTTTAGCTTCAGTATCTATTTCAGGCTGAGTAAGTGTTCTCTCACCATTATACTGGCATGACAATTCATTATCTTGCTCTGCTCCAGAAAAGTGTTTAGAATTTCTGAAACCAGATCTTGCATCTTCCTCTTCATTATGATGTAGTGTATTTCTCGTCTCTATACAGAATCCTTTTGTGTTTACTGTAGCTATTGTTCTCTCCTCTGTGGTTACCTTTTCCATGTGCTCTTCTTCACAGAGCGTTTTATTTATTACATTAGATTTTGTTCGTAGGTCACTGGATTCATTTTCCATTTCTTCATTCCCCATCACTTCCTCAAAATTCTCAGGCGTTACCAACACACTTTCAGGTGTAAGGATGGGTTCCCCGATTTGCAAGTGATCACCACCCCTGAGAGTGGATTCTGGTTTTGGTGTTTTTACTTTTTCAGGCAATTCAGTTTCCTCTGCTTCCATTAATTCACTAGACATTTCTTTCAAATTTTGAGAAATGGCTGTAGTACTTAAATTATTAAATAAAGTCTTCTCTGTCTGTACTAGCTCGCTAGATTTTTCTTGCAAGTATTGGAAGTTGGATGACATACACTCCATTGAAGAGGTTTTATCCTGTATTTGTATGTGATCAGTATGGACTTCCTTCTCATTGATGGCTTCCAGTTTAGGTGTTGCTACCTTCACTGTTAGGTCTGTCTCTGCAGAGCCTATATTCTCAGAAACCTCTTCTGAATGTTCTTCGTTGGCCAGTGTGTTTATACTTGAAACAGTCAGCTCAGTTTGCTTTGCTTCAGCATCTTTCTCCTCATCTCTTAATTTTGCTGTGAAAGTGTCTATACAATTTGGTATCTCTTCATTCTCTCTCAATTTAGTTGAGATCTCTCTACCATGAGGTTCATGTGGTTTCTCATCGTCACTGCTCTCATTCATACTGACGAAGCTACAATTATTCTGAGATTCTACTTTTCCTTCTCCTAACATGCTTTCCACAAGATGAGCATTATAATCAATTTCTTCATCACTGGAATCAGTCAACTCTCCAAACAGAGTATCCTATAATTAAAAGATACAAAAGGAGAGTTTTTTCAAACTATGGGTTTTGGGTTTTTTTTCAAATTCAGTATAATTCTATGGATATTACATTTTTAAGTGAATGCACTGACAAGCACTGGAAACTTACGCAACTTTAGCATTTAAACAGGTATGCCTTAGACAGCAGAATTATATGCCTCTCTATCGAGGTTTCCTAATAATGGCATAGAGAAAAGTATGGCAAAAGAACAATTCAGTTTCTGTGTCTACCTTCACTCTAAGATACTAACTAGTGAAAACTTTGGAATAATGAAAGGCAGGGGGAAAGGCAGCAAGTAAAACAAGGAGGCTTGAATTACTGGGCCAAATTTTCAATGCTTGAGGCTTCAAGTTAAGAATTGATTTTAAGAACCTAAGTACGTCTCTAGGCATTCATGTTTGACAGTTTTGCTCTCAGTCAGATTTCTGATGGCATCCTTTTTGCAACAGGCAACGGTGCCTAATGAAGCAGTTATAGAAACTAAAAACCTTCCAAGTCCATAAGAAATATTGGATACACAGAACTTTAATGAGTGTGGAGGTGACTTCTGAGTCACTACTTATATTCTGATTGTAATGTATATTGTACAGTATATTTTTTGTTCATCATGCCATGATTTTAGTCATGCACACTTAACACATTACAGGAGATTGTCTCTCTCTCCACAAAATTCAGTGTAATTAAAAACTCATCAAAAGTGAACTTAAAATTTGGATCTAAACATTGTGACCAAGACCCTGGAAAGTGATTGAAAACAAACACTGATACTTTAGACAAGCCTCTCAAACCCCTTTAATTATTTTTGTGACACTAGAGAAGCTGAGTTATTGCCAATTCAGACAGTCTTACTGTAACTCACCTGCGTAGCCAGTGGTGAAAAACGTAATGGAGATAGAAGAGGAGGGAGAGGCCTGACCCAGTTCAATATATCAAGCAAGTTTTCACCAAGCTCTTCTTGTTCCTGATCAGAGGACTCTGAACTACTGTCCGTTAAGTCTGTCTGTACGACCACCTCTATAGTTTTGTCCTCATAAAAAGCACTGTTACCATAATAGTCCTGCAGACCTTCTTCAGTGGTCTTGCTCTCAAAGTGATCACTTCCAGAAGGCTTCTTGTCTACTTCTATCTGCAAAGCTGTTAAAGAATTTTGCTTTTTAAGGATTTCTGGTGAAGAATGAGAGCGAATCATTTTGCCGCCAGATTTCCTAGATTTTCGGGAGGTAGGTGCTTCTAGAAAAGACAGGAAAAAATAACAGGTTTCCATTTTTTCATTCTGCTTTATCAAGTTAATAATACTGTGTGATTCAACATATATTGATCATGATTTTCTAAATGTTTTCATTTGGTGCCATCAAGGAGATTCATTTTCAAAAATATTTTTCATGGACTATGATTAAAATACAGACTTTTATATATTCTCAATATAATTATACATTATGTCAAAAAGTTACTAGGAAAATTAAGGACATAGCTAAGGATTCGAATGAGGAAAAGCCAAAATTCAAGTGTCAACAATTTTAACACTATCCATTTTCATATGTTCACTAGAACTACATCTTGTTGAATTTCACATCTATTTCTACTCACAAGTAGCATCTTGTAATTTTCATTGTTTTAAATTAGGACAATGTGTGTAGTATAGTGTCTTTACTGATACAGACCCAAGATTCTACAGAGAAAAAGTATGCAGAGGGGATGGAAATTTGAACACTTCTGGAGAGGGAGGGAAAGGGAAGACAGTGTAATTTAGAAAAGAGGGCAAAGCCCTCTACTTGGGCAAAATTACTGTGCATTCACAAAGTTACAGTGGTCTATGGCATTATTCCAGTGGTGAAATGTCTCTTTGGATGGAAAACTACTGGTTGCCTTAACTTTTCACTTCCTTCCTTTCTAGACTGTGTGTGATGTTAAGCATTGACCCAAACTTAACTGACACACAAAGCAATGTTTTAATTTATTATTTCATAATATCAGTGCCCAAAGACACCATTGTGCTAGGCACTGTACAAAAAAAGCAAAGACGGATCTCTCCATCAAGAGGTCAAATGAAAGATTTATGCAAAACAATAAAATAACTAACATTAAAGTACTCATTTCACATTGAGGTGGCCATCGCTAAGGAGCCAAAACTCCTAATATAGCATAACAAATGGAAAAGTTACATAAATCACAGTATTTGTGGTTCCTTAGCAATGTTTTGTACACACAGCTCCCGCTTGTAGTGCAACATCTTGTGCACGAGATGAGAATTTTTAAATAGCATGTCCACCTGCATTGCTATATGCCATTATGCCTGCATATACAGGTCACGTGGGGCACAGCAAGCAGGACCACCCCTCAGTTTACCACCTATGGCACTAAGACAGAGCTCAGCAATGTCTGCCTGCTACCCTGTAGTACCTTCAGAGCAGCAACTGAGTTAGTCTGTAACTGGAAAAGCTTAAAAAACAATAGTCTAGCACAGGGCTACTCAACATGTGGCCCGCAGCCCATTTGTTTGCAGCCTGTGGTGCACTTTGGATTTACACGGGACTAGACACACAGCCCACGGGTGGGATTCTTTGAACATGGTCTCCACTGAGAACAACAGCGAGATATCTCCCAGGCAGATTGAGCACTGAAAGACATATGCAGACGGGCTGGCTGGAACAGACAGGAACAGGGTGTTGGCGTTTCTTGCCCCTAGGGAGGAGGCGCCGGGAGCACTGGGGCATTGTGGGAAATGATTTGTATTCCTGTCCTTCAGTGTGAAAGAAGCTATTTGCATATATATTTGCATGTATATGCAACCACACTTAAGTTGCGGCCCTCGGCATTTGCTATAAGTATCATTATGGCCCCCAGGACTTCTAAAGTTGAGTAGCTCTTGTCTAGCAGCACCTTAAAGACTAATAAAAAACACATGTAGATGGTATCATGAGCTTTCATGGGTACAACCCACTTTTTCAGATGAATTTGTAGTACCTTTGATTGATATTTTAACCACAGAGATACTTGCTTAATATTCAGCAAGTATTTAAGATTCAGCATAACATTTTTAGAATAGAAAATGTGTAATGTTTTGAGAAAATACTATAGTATTTAGCCTGAATAAGTCCATTTATTTTTAAATAGAAAAAACATCAAAATTCTATTGCAACATACCTTCTGTAAATAACTTGCCTGTTTCCTCTGGCGTCCTTGAGTGACCATGAATAGAAGCTGTTGAGAAAAAATAATTACTATATTTTGTTCTTCATAAGGGGGAAAAAAAAAATACTTTCAACAGCATTCCAAAATCTTTGTGTTCTCTCTCTCACCGAAGATGTAATCATGTTCTGGGCTCTGTTTTTTTCCTGTTGTGCTGTCAATACACATCCAGAGTTCCTCCAGCAACAGTTTTATTTTTCCTGTTAAAAATAAATACTTATCAATTAAATAGCTTAAGTTTGTGAATACCATATCACTTTTATTCTAAGCATATGAACACAGTAAAATAGAGAATACTAATATCTAGCAATATATATTAACTACAGGCTTAAAAAAAAGTAAAGCAACCATTTTATCTGAGGAAAAAAATAGAATCAGAGAATATTAGGGTTGAAAAAGACCTCAGGAGGTTATCACGTCCAACCCCCTGTTCAAAGCTGGACTGACCCCAAATAAATCATCCCAACCACTGCTTTATCAAGCATGATCTTAAAAAGCTCTAAGGATGGAGATTCCACCACCTCCCTAGGTAACCCATTCCAGTGCTTCACCACCTCCCGAGTGAAAAAGTTTTTCCTAATATCCAACCTAGACCTCCCACCACTGCAACTTGATACCATCCTGGTTCTGTCATCTGCCACCACTGAAAACACTTTAGCTCCATCCTCTTTGCAACTCCCCTTCAGGTAGTTGAAAGCTGCTATCAAATTCCCCCTCATTCTTCTCTTCTGCAAACTAAATAAACCCAATTCCCTCAACCTATCCTCAATAAGTAATCTGTCCCAGCCTCTAATCGTTTTTACTGCCTTCTGCTAGACTCTCTCCAATTTGTCCACATCCTTTTTGTAGTGGGTGGCCCAAAACTGGATGCAACACTCCAGATGTGGCCACACCAGTGCAGAACAGAAGGAATGATTGTGTCCTTCCATCTCCTGGCAATGCTTCTACTAATGCAGACCAATGTGCAATTAACCTTCTTGGCAACAAGGGAACACTGTTGACTCATCCAGCTTCTCATCCACTGCCATCCCCAGGTCCCTTTCTGCAGAACTGCCACTCAGCCCCTAGCCTGTAGCATCCTAAGTGCAGAACTCTGAATTTGTCCTTGTGGAATCTCATCAGATTTATTTTGGTTCAGTCCTCCAACTGTCCTTTAAGCAAGTGCTTCTCAAAGATATCTACATAGTGCTATTGCCCAAAACAAACTGCTTCTTAATAATAGCAAAGCCCTGGCACTTCCTGGAACTGAATGTAAGTAAGTATCCATTTTACCAACAGGCACCAAATTAGAAAGAGAAGGATGAAGTGAAATACAAATTGACTAGTTTACAAAACCCAACAAGGAAACATGCCAGACTACTTGCAAGGGTGGTGGTGGTGGGGAATTGTACTTGAAGTCATATATAAATACTCTAAAATGAGAAATTTAAAAAGAGGAAAGTGTTTCCTTTTTATTCTTCTGTTTTTCTGTTCAACAAAATTCTGTCCGTTTTTTAAAAAATAAAAGAATTGGTTTCCCGAAAGAGCAAATGTGAGAGTGCATATAAGAGTTGCAAAAGGGCAACGAGTCAGGCAACCCTCACATTCAGTGTGGAATCTCTCCTCAATGATTAAATTGCATCCTGGAAGATTGTCCTGACTCTGTACTCATACTATCTGTTTGCTTTGCTAGCTCAATTATTTCCATCTGGAATTAGAAAAATGAAGAGCAGAAGGGCCTACTGAATATTCAGCAGATGTGTTAATTGCATGCAAGGTATAAAACAGAAGTGATTAGTTATGATGAAATATTCCTTATTTCCTTCTTTTAGGTAATTCTCTTTGGCCTCCTTGGGGAAGGTAGCTGTCAGTTTGATAAACAATAGCAAAGATTTTGTGACAAAGATTAAATTCCTATTTTTAATCATTTACTTTCCTCGTCATGATCTGAACCCAGGACACCGAAAAAGAGATAATCTGCCTAGCACAGCGTTTCCCAAACTATGGGCCACGGCCCAGTATCGGTCCGTGGGAAAAAAATACCGGGCCTCAGCATGGCTGCCAGGAGGGGAGCAGAGCGGGGTGCACTGGGAGGAGGAGTGGAGGAACCGGCCGCCGGGAAGCAGTGCTGGGGACAGTGGTGCTGTGCCTGTGGAGATCTGGGCAGGCGTAGGTTTCCATGTGGGGCGAGGCGGCAACCAGGAGGCAGCGGACGCCGTGCCTCCTGGTCATGGTGGGAAAGGGGCCGCGGCCGCCAGGGATGGAGCTGGAGGCGGCAGTCGGGGCCGATGACGGGGCAGGTGAGGGGGTAGCAGCGGCCACCTGGGCGTACGCTCTGGGGGCCTTAGTTGTGTCACCCCCAGAGCTGGTGGAGGGGACAGCAGGGGAAGGAGGGGCTGCGGAGGGCGGGGCGGCTTTGGCCGTGATGGATTTGGCCTTCGGGGCCGGGCTTTTGCCCTTTTTCTTCCCCCCGCCCTTTTTTCCGGCCGAGGTGATGGTTGCTCCCGTGTCTGAGGGAGCGGCGGCCGTGGCGGCGGCGGAGCTCGGGCCTGGGGTCGGGAAGTCAGCCGCAGCGGTTGTCGGGCCTGGTGGTAGCGAGGGGGCCGTGGTAGTGACTGCCTCCATCATGGAAGGGGGGGGTAGGAAGGAGGCACAGATAAGAGGAAGGGGAGCAAGGGTTCACCGCTCCTCCCCACCAGACAACAGGCGAGGGAGGAGGGTGTCTGAAATGGAGGGGGGGGGAGTGGGACTGACCTGGGCTCATGCAGAGCCTGGCAGACGAGTGAGTCTGACCGGGGATTCCATTTTGCCCCTTCTCTCCTCACATACCCTCCCTGGATTAGTTGCGAACTGCCTGGCAGGTAGACACACACAGAGAGCATGAGCACATCTACCAGCCAGGAAGCTAAGGACTAATACACCTAATTATAATAAAATGTACCTAATTAGAAAATACCAGGCATTTTATATGTCTGGTAATTTCTTTCCCAGACAAAACCTTCAAATACCGGACTGTCCAGTACAAAACCGGACACCTGGCACCTACCCTTCTTTGCATCCTCCCTCTTAGCCAGATACCCTACTCCCAATCTGCTCCTGCTCCCGCCTCCTGAAGTGTTCATGTGGCGCTGGGTCCTCCAAGCCCTGGCCCAGGCTGGGTGGAGGATGCAGCCAGGTGAAACACTGAAAATTTATTCATTTTTCATTTTTTTTATATGCTTTTATATTTTTGGGCTGCAAAAGACAGTACTGAAAAAAAACAGGTTCCAACTAAAGTAAAAAGTTTGGGAAACCCTGATCTATCCAGCTTTCTATCCATTTTACAGTCCAGTTATCCAATCCATATTCTCGTAACTTTCTGGCAAGAATATTGTGGGTGACTGTATCATAAGCTTTGCTAACGCTGGCTTTGGGAGGACCAGAAACAACTTATCTGAATATTCGCCATTTGATTATTGAATATGCAAATATGCAAATGAATGTTACCGGGCCTCCAAAAGCTCATGAATAGATTTACTGGTCCCCGTGTCAAAAAGTTTGGGAACCCCTGGATGAGATGGAGGGATAGCGTATATTTATTTGATGAATTTTGTGCAATTTCTAACTGGTGTTTGCACATGAAAAATTATTTTAAAAAAGTGATTATAATTTAAAATATCAGAGACTTCTTAGCATGAAGTAATGGAAGTGAACAATTGGATATCAACTATAATGGTGTATATTCCATCAGACCAGTGAACTAATTTTCATTTCTAATGTCAATTAATTCTGCTCTATTAATATATATTCATTACAAATTTATTTTCAGTCATCTGCACTGTTAAAAATGCTGCTTTCAAGACAGTGAAATATATTCCTGCAGAATTATAGTACATTTCAAATAGATTTTTTTCAGTGCAAAATAAATTAACAGAAATGTACCTTTGTCTATGTTTACTATTGGATCTTCTCTTGTACTCTGGGTCTCTGCATGTTTCAACACTGAAAAGAAAGTATATAGTTTAGTAACATACTGAAAAAAAGGGTTTAAATACAACTATGTATCTGAAAGCAAACATACTGGATACTCACCCTTTTTGCATTTCTCTTTGGGAAGGTCATCACGTTTTTTCTGTTTAACATTAATAACTGTGTTAAACTGTTATGCAATACATACGTATTTTACAGTATTTACACTAAAAAGACCAGTGATTTTTGGTCAGTATTTATTTCAAGCACACTAATTTATAAATTATGTGTAGAGTTTGAAACTGCAATAAAAATACTAAATGTTGTAACTCAATATCCTCAAGCAAGTTCAAGATGTTAGTAGTAAACACATGAATATCTTAGGCTGAGAAATTCATGTCCGCAGTTATTGTATCTACTTTTTTTTAAAAACGAAATACTTCAGAAAAATTCACACAGACCCAAAAGTTGCCAATTACTACCTGTGCCTTCTTTAGCTCCTTTTCAAGAACTTTCTTTTCAGTCTTCAACTGTTTGAAGTCTTGCGTATGCTTTGTTGCTGCCTCTTTATTTAAATAAAAAAAAGATCCATAGGCATGAGACTACTAAGGAACACGTCAAAGTATCTAAAACCAATATAAACGTAGAATAAATACCATGGAAATCCTGCATTTTTGGTTTGCTAAATTTTGCAAGTTTATGTGGGATTGATGTTTGCACGATTACTTCCGAAGTATTTTACCAGGAGAAGAACAGACCAGATGCATATTTATAGTTACAATAAGACAACACCAAAGCAGCACAAAATGAACTATCCTTTCAGTATTTAAATACAACCCCATACCTTCCAGATAGAAAAGGTGGGTCCAAGCTGAGTGATATTTTTCACATGCCCTAATTATCGCATTTAATGAAGCAGCTAGGGAATTAGAAGTTAAATTAAAAATGTATTAATGTTGCAAAGGTCAAATTCAGTCCCAGCACATAAAATGCAAGTTCCTTTTACTTCTATGGGAGTCATGCTCACTTGCACCAAGACTGAATATGGTCTTCTTGCAGCATTGGCACCAATGGTCTTTGTACTCAAACACTGACCTGTAGAGTTGGGTTTTTTTATTAAGTGGCTTACCAAAATTGTAAGAGCTGAAACCAAAGATATTGACTGTAATCATTTATTAATTATACATCCCTACTGTAAATTCTAGCGTTATAGTCTAATTTCTGCATTTTGTAAATCATCATCTGGAACCTCTTCTCCACTATAGATGTTTGCATTATGGCTCATTCTCAACTTTATAACCCTTCAGATATTTCAGCTCTATAGCATCTCCAATAAATATGGGCAAAACAGAGGCTATAACCTTTCTTCCTAAACCCTTTTCCTACTTTACTTCTCCATTAAGACTGGCATTAATATATCCTCCATGTTGCCCAGGTCTAAACTGGAGGCCATCTTCAACTCCATTCTTTTTCTTTCCCTCCAGACCAGTTTTTTCTCTATAATACTTCTAAAATTTGTTCCTTCCTTGCTGAATATTGGCAAAATTGCTCAAACACACCATTATCTCCTCCTCCTCCCAGCTCTTTTTGATAGTAACAGTGAATCCCTCTAAATGTCAAAAATGCCACTAAAAATCCTCTCAAATCTGTTACTCAATTGGATAGCCATTCCAGGGCTGTGATTTGAAATAATACAACAACATGGGTAATAATGTGAGTAATATGAAGATCCCATAGTTTCCATGTTTAGAAGTCAAACATTTTATTAAGCAGTCTGAGTACAAGGCAGCTCTATCTAGACGTTTAATCAAATTTGGGACGTTGACCCAGGAGTAAGCTGGAACAAATGTTTAATGTCTTAGGCTAGGTCTAAACTACCAGGTTATTTCAAAATAATAACTCCCAAAATAACTATTTCAAAATAAGCTTATTCCTCTTCACAAGCAGGAATTATTATTTTGAAACAGCGGGCTTGGTGGTATGGATGCTCACCCTGTAATTTTGAAATAACTGCCCAGTGTAGACATGCCTTAAAAGTTGTTGATAACAATCCACATGAAAAGATGAGAGAAGGATTTGGACAAAAAAGGCTCATCTAGATTAGTGGGTCTCTAGAAGATATCTTCAATTTTCACAAAACCAAGAAAATGTTATAAGTTACTGGATAGACTTCATTTAATATCACTCACATTTTTGCCACTAAGGTTGCACTCTCATGGAGTACTTGCAGGGAAAGGGGAATCTATGTGTACCTGTCATGACTGTGTCCAGGAATCTGATTAGTTTGTGAGAAAGTTATTTATGAGATTCATTTTATGACAAAATGCTGGCTTCCCACAGAATCCTCTGACACACTTATCTGATACTTTAGTAAATGGGTATACATTTTAAAACAATGAATTTTTTTATTTTTAGCAGTTGGAATATTGCACATAATTGAAAAAAATGGTACTCCTACAGAATTATGATACAGTAAAATATGAATTGGCCTTGTAATGAAAATTATTTCATACCAAGACACACAATTGAAAACTCCAAACGAAGCACAGACGTTTTAATAATCAGGCTACCCTTAGTATTCTAGTCAAAGAAGGCACACTCTCCAACCATCAACCCAGAATTTTAGCCAAATTCTTTAAAAATTAACCTGATCCTGAATAAGTTCTGTAATATGTTAAATGCTTAATTTTAACTTTGTCTTAATGAAGGTTTAAGAATGATTAAGTGAACTGTTAATATCGTAAACTGACTGCAAAAGTGACAATTACCTTCCAGTTTTTTCACTTTGGCTTCCAGTTTCTTCTTCCTGATCATAAAAATAACAGAATAAAAACTTATTTTATGTTTAGATCTCTCCATGCTACATAAGATCCCAGCTGAAATACAAATCCATTTATGTGTATAAACTACACAGCACTTCATACATTATTTAAACCAAAATCTTTTAATATGGGTGCCTAAAGTTAAGGATTTAAACCGGGGCCTGTTTCTGAGAGATACTCGATGGCAGGGGGAAAAGGGAAGTGAGAAGTCAGGCCACTAATTTACATAGCCAAATGTGGATTTAGATACTTTACCAGAAGCAACCATTTCAATATTTGGGCCTAACTTGTCTGGCTTTAGCAGCCCCATCTATAAAACAAATGATATTTGATACAATAAAACAGTCATCCCCAAGCATTTTACTTTGTGCCCCCAGGTCCAAATACCAGTAAGCAGTGCTTTTTTTGTGATGGTACTGCCCAGTATGCAGTACCAGCACCTCCAGTCATAGCTTACCTGGAAAGAACAGAGTGTACCAGTACCTCTATAATGAAAATGGCCGACAGTCGGCTGGGCCTTAAAGAGTACCAGCACCTTTTTAAAAAAAAAAACCAAAAAACGCACTGCCAGCAAGGTTAGAGCCACAGTCGCAGCCAGGCTGGGAACCATGGGCAGAGGCCAGGGCCACAGCTAAGGGTGGGTCTGGGAGCCAAGAGCAGAGTCGCAGATGGGGACCAAGGGCTAGAGCCACAGCTGGAGAAGGGACTGAAAGCGGAGACATGCCTAGGATCTGGAGCCAAAGCAGGACTGGATGGCGCTCCCTTTGGGGGCTAGCCCAGGCTCCATCACAGCTCCCCAAACATTCCTCCACCACCCAAAGGGGAGCACACCCCACAATTTTGAGACCTCCACCCTAAAATGTGGTGAAACCTTAACAAGGTTTGAAATGCTGCTAAATTAAGAGAGGTCCCTGAAAAGGGGGGGAAAAAACCCTTAGTAACTCTTAAGTCCCACAGCCTCTGACTGAGTATTTGAGAACCTAGATACGGCAGTAAGTGCTTAAATTTTGGTGCCCCAATTTGCAAAAATTCTGACTTTAGTGACTTCCCAAAATGAACAGATCAAAACCTAGTCTTCTAATGCCTTCTTTAACCAGATCATACCTCTCAGAAAGTTTTCTTCACATTGTTACATTTAATTATGACTGATAACTAGAATAAAAACAGCTTGCTCACCTTCTCAAAGCGGAGGCCAACAGATAACAATGTACTAAGAGTAAAGTATTTGTGCATTTCCATAAGAAGAATGTACAAGAATAAGTTTTTAGAAAAGAATGACTCACACAGCATCATTTCTAGCAATTTCTTCTTTCACCCGAGCATATTCCAGATGAGTCTGCTGATAAATCTTGAGAGAACTCTAAAGAAAACAATAATAAAACATTGTCCATATAGTAAACAAAAAACTTCAGGTTGGCATAGTTTTGCCTGTTATACAGTATATAAATGGACAGCAATCAAGGAACATACACTACCCGGGAAATTGGAAGACTAGAAAAGGAAGTGTTTCCCCTAAGATTCCTGTTCTCTAGGGTACAAGCTACAATAGCTGTATTTGTCTGTGTTTCCAGCAGCTAACTAGACCAAAAAAAAAAAATCAATGTTAAATTGGGGAGTGCAAATACTATCGATGGAACATTCTGCCCTTGCTGAACAGGTACCAGCACCTCTTAACCCTTGCTGACATTCAGCTCATCTGAAGAACTGGGTTTTGTCAACTAACGCTCATGATATTCCTTCCCCCCCCCCCCCACCACCACTCAACCCAGGCTGTCAAGCTATTAAAATTAATCATGATTAAAAATGAATAGTTATTAATCTCAATCCTGCAGTAAATAAAATGCCATTTATGTAAATAGTTTGTGTATTTTCTACAGCTTGAATTACAAAGTTTACAGTGCTCACTATTTTTTATTACAAATATTTGCATTGTCAAAAAAAAGAAATAGTACTTTCCAATTCACATCATACAAGTGTGTAGTGCTCGCTCTTGTGAAACTGTACCTTACAATTGTAGAATTATGTACAAAAATAACTGCATTCAAAAATAAAATTGAGGAAAACTTTAGGCTATGTCTACACTGCAAGTTTCTTGCGCATCCATGGCCATGTTGACACTCTCTTGTGCAAGGAAGCTCTGATGGCCATTTTAGCCATAGAGGTTTCTTGAGCAAGAAACCCGTTGCCTATCCACACTGCCCTCTTGCGCAAGAGGGCTTATCCCTTGTGGGGAGAGGAATAACCCTTGAGCAAGAAGCCCTCTGATCCAATGTCTGACTGTAAATTTACTTGTGCAAGAATGCACGTGCTTTGTAGACGCTCCGCAAATTTTTGCGCAAGAACAGTCGTTCTTGCACAAAAAGCCTGCAGTGTAGATGTAGCCTTAGAGACTACACTCTATTCAGTCCTACTTTTAGTGCAGCCAATTGCTCAACCAAGTTTGTTTACATTTGCAGGAGATAGTGCTGCCTACCTCTTGTTTAAACTGTCACTTCAAATTCCCATGACAGTCTTATAGCTGGCACAGCAAAGTATTTATGTACCATGTGCACTAAACAGTCACATGTCACTTCATGCTTCAGCCACCATTCCAAAGGACATACTTCCATGCTGATGACACTTGTTTAAAAAATTGTGTTAATTAAATTTGAGAGTGAACTCCATGGGAGAAAACTACATGACTCCTGATCCATTTGACCAGGATTTCATGGTATAGTAGTCTTGGCATGATGACCCAGCACATATTAAGGATGTTAAATAATGGTTATTTTACTAGTCGACGGAATTTCCCTTGACTAGTCAATAGGCACTTCCGCATTCCTTCCACCTGGGGCTCTTGTACATTTCAGAGGAGGAACGCGGAACTCCGCATGCCGCCTGGGGCCAGCAGGAAGTCCAGCTGACTCCGGGCTGCAAGTGGCATGCCAGCTTTGAAATGCACAAGAGTCCGCAATGGAGGCTCTTGTGCATTTCAAAGCGGCAGCACAGCAATGAGCCCGGGGTCAGCAGGGGACTCCAAGTGCCCCATTGACCCCAGGCTCCATGCTGCACTGCCGATTTGAAATGCCACATGGAGCTGGGGTCAGCTGGGGACTTCGCAGATGATCCGAGCTTCCACAGAAATGCTGCACTGGAGCTCAGGATCAGCTGGGGAGTCCCCAACTGACCCCAGGCTCTACATGCAGCAGCGCCACACAGCTAATTCCGGGATCATCTGTGTGGCGCTGTGCCTTTCAAACACTGAGGCGGCGTTCCAGAGGGAAATATTCGAAATAACAGGTGGCTTGTGCAGACGTGAGGTAGCTATTTCAGGATACATCCGGTATCCCGAAATAGTTGTGCAGTGTATACGTACCCAAAGAGTGGCAGAATTTGAACATTTGGCTCCGAGTTGCCAAGCAATTTGAGGGAGAGATGAAACCGTTCCAGTATGTTGCTTAGTCACAGCTAAAGTTAGGGTAGAGGCAATAAAATTCTCTAGTCTGTTGCAACAAAACTTTTATTAAAGATTTCCAACTCCAACAATCCTCCCACTTTTCAGCATACCTTTTTCTCTTCCAATTCTGCTTTCAGAGACCCCAATTCTTGCTGACACTTTTCCAGAGGAGAGATTTTTTGTAGCATTTGTTCCACTTGATGACGAAGAGTACTATTCTCTCTGAAATGGACAAAAACTACAGAACATGTAGCCAAAAAAACCATGGATTTTTGTTCAAGTGTAAACTCAGTGCTATATTTCCTAAAACAGCAACTACTTTGCTATTCCCTACAGGACAGCTGAAAATGCTCTCCAGCTACTTGCTTGCTTTACTGTTGTAGCTGTGTGTGTCTCACGATATTAGTGACAAGAGGGTTGTGGTAACACATTTTGCTGGCCCTGAGGTGCCTGCCATAAACTCAACCACTTGTCTTTCACAAGCGGAAGTTGGTGCAATAAAAGATCTTTCATTTACCTAATCCCTCCAACTACTTGAACATATCTGGCGTAAAAGCCAACTTAGCATATTATAGGGGAAAACGCTATTTTCATAAATTAGGAACAGATTCAAAGAGAAATGAGTGGAATGTGTAATTCTATGTCTCCATACTGGCTCACTGACCATAAAAATAAATGTAATTCCGCCCTCATCACTGAATGCATTTGAGTAGCTAGAGAACCCTTACTTTGAACTCATAACAAAAGGCAAGATCCTCACTTCCACGTAGGCCATTTAATGTCATGTAAAAAGGCCTCAAAATCCTGAATCTACCTATTGGAAGGATTCCCCAGCATAGACCTAGCATAGGATCCTTTGTAGCCTTGGCATAGTGGGGACATGTCTAGAGAGGAGTTATAGCACTGCAGAGTTTTCAAGTAGAAATGTGGACCAAAGGGCAACCCGAGGCAGCAACCATTACTAGGACAAGGTCATTTAGGTCTAAATTACACAGGGAGAATATTGTAAAATGGAATTAGTGATCATGTGAGTATCCATTATTTTATATTGATAAATACCCCTATTTCCTACTCCAGAATATATGCCAAACCAAACAGATAATACAACTGAATTTTCTTCTTACCTTTCAGCCAACTGAAGCTGTGATATCTTGTTAAGGAAAAAATTAAAACAGTAAGTTGACCACGGTTATCTCAAAAGCATAATAAATGGAAAAATGGGTTGGAATCCCAACAACTAAGAAGAAAAATCAAGTCATTATACTCTTCCCAGGGAAAATTACTCAGAGGAACAAAACTAATGTTTAATGGTAAAACAGAATTGATACAAGGACAAGAATGAAGTGAGTATGTTGAGGAAAAAATTCAATACCTATGTTGAATCACTGACTTTGTTAAGCCCCTGATGAAATAATTCTTAATCCTTCATTACACTTAGACAATTTTTTAAAAATACTGGTGAAACAGCCAAAACTCAGGTGTATTCAGTTTCCATTTCTAAAGCCCAATATTTTTTCCATATACTCTATAGATTAAGTTGTTCAATACTTTTGAATAGCCATTCTCAAACTGTGGATCAGGACCCCACTTTAATGAGGTCATCATGGCAAGCAAACTTACTGGGGCCAGGGCCAAGGCCAAAACCTGAGTTTCTCCACTGGCAGAAGCTCCAGGTTACAGACCCCATGTCTGGGGTGGAAGGACTTGGGCTTTGGTCCCCCATCCACCAAGGGAGAGCTCACATTTCTGTCCCTGTATAGTAATATTTGTTGTCAGAAGGTGGTTTAAATGCAATGACGTTTAAGAACCCCTGCTTTAGAATAAGCAGTACTTGCTACAAACAAACTTGTAATCTTAATTTCTAACTTCACAAATTCCTCAAAACCCTGTTAAATGAAGTGTTCACACATAAATACAACAAAATACTAAGAGGAATATAGAAACAAAGGATATCATCACACTTCTGTTGATATTCTGTCAGCAAGTGGCTGTAGAAAAAAAATAAGTTGCTTATATGGGTGATCTTTCAGTTTGTTTTTGCATCCAATGTAGACAATCAAGTTTTATACAGTAATACCACTTCTTATTCATCATACCGAAACACAGAAAGCTTTGTCTGTTACAAACCCAGATTAGCTACATTCTAAAAATAAGTTTAATTTAACAATGCAAGCATCAAGTTTAATTTTATATGACTTTGAAAATATCAAATCTGAACACAGTTCTAGGCTTGTGTATGTGACATCATTAGCTATTTTTTCTTACTTACCTATTTAAGCTTCTAAATTCAAAAAGTTGTTAAAGGTTAAGAGATAAGAGACTTTCCTAATTAAATTACACTTTGGCTCATCTGATGTATTCATCTCATTCTAGTAAAATATATTTAACACAATATACAACTTGTAACAGGGATTAGCATCTTAATGACAGAACTAACATTTTCTTCAGAAAAAGTAGACTTCAGAAATCTTAACTGTCAGATTCTGCTTCCAAAGATGTTTTCTACTAAATTTGCTTACTGAATGCCGGCTAAAAAGGAACTTTCTTACTTTAAAACATTTGTTTGATGTAAGTAAATTTAATCCTGCGGAAATTCTGCATACTGTATCTAAATAATACTATATGATCAATTATTTCAGTAGTTTATTTCAAAATACCTGTCAGCAATTATGTCTCTAACAATACAAACAAAAAAGAATTCCTCCAAGTGTAGAAATTAAGAAACCACTGTTTCTCTACTCCCCCATTTCCAGAGCCTAGCAGGAGAGAGAGAGGGTATGTCTACACTACCCTGCTAGTTCGAACTAGCGGGGTAATATAGGCATACCGCACTTGCAAATGAAGCCCGGGATTTGAATTTCCCAGGCTTCATTTGCATAAGCCGGGCGCCGCCATTTTTAAATCCCGGCTAGTTCGAACCCCGTGCCGCGCGACTACACAGATTA